GGAGACTTGTGGGTTGAGCCATACTTTTACTTATTTATAGCCTCTACTTTGCTGCAAAGATATTTTCATTTCTTTATCTATACCTCTTTGCCAAAAACGTTATCTTAAAAGTGACTTGGTTGAAGAATGTGTTGGGAGATGAGTCCCAGGTTGAGTGAACCTAGAAACACCCTTATCAACTTATTTTTGTATTCACACAAACTAAAAAAAAAAAAATCGCATAGCAAATACACAAGACAGAAGTGACATTAAATTGTTTGAAACTAATAGCAAAGGAAACCCGGCAATTTGTCTTGCTCTGCTGGAAAGCTTCAGGGTCTCTTCGCCCTCAGCTTACCATAGGTCTGTGGCTGATTGCCTGCATTCTTGCAGTATTCAGTGTTTCACTGATTCTGTGATGTGAAGTCATCAACTCCCTGTGTTACCGCATTTCAGGGTGACTTAGTGCTTGGAGTGGAAGATACTGCGAGTGTCTATTTAATGTAGTTGCAACGGTGGAGTGTGTCTTTAATGTCTCAGGTCCCTCAGCTCTGCCCTTGATGACACTTCCTGGTGGAGTATTCTTCTTTAATCTCTGGTTTGCCAGTTTCTTCTCCCTGCCTCCACAGATGGGTGTCAATTCTGTTTCCATCAGCTTCCTTTCTGTCCCCCAAGGCTGCACTCTGAAAATCTCCATTTAGCTCTGCCTTGCTTTTCTGTTCCCGATGGGCTCAAGGACTTCTGTGTGTACCGCTGGACTATTATGTAGGTGGGCATATTCACGGGGCAGGTGTTATTGTTGTGGCTTTATGGAGAAGCACAAACAGGTCCATAATTAGTGATGGTTGGCGTTTCCTGCTGTGGATTATGGCCTATGTATAAGCAGTAGCCAGGACGCTCAGCAGGTGCCTTGTGCATATAGATATTCCATATATCAACTTTTATCTCAGATCTGTCACATACCCATGGATCAATAATATTCCATTGGGGCACCTGGGTGGCTCAGTCGGTTGTGCATCCGACTTCGGCTCAGGTCACGATCTCATGGCTCGCGAGTTCAAGCCCCACGTCGGGCTCTGTCCTGACAGCTCGGAGCCTGGAGCCTGCTTCAGATTCTGTGTCCCACCCTCTCTCTTCCCCTCCCCCACTCATGCTCTGTCTTTCTCTGCCTCTCAAAGATCAAGAAATGTAATAAAAAAATTAAAAAAATAAATAATATTCCATTGACCCCATTCTATTTATTCCTAATTACTTACCCATTGAACAAGAGCTTTCCAGCTTGGTTAAGATCATTAACACGCTGGAAATTCCCCATACCCCTCAGGACCTGCAGTAGGCTTTTCCATATTCTTTTCCCCACGAATTTTTGAGCACCACTTGGACATCCTAAAAAATAAGACAGTAATGTCACTGCAGGCTTTGCGTACTCCTGTGCTGGATTGGTACACCTTAACTGGTGACTAATCTTTGGTTTGGGTTATTGAAAGCTATAGATGTGGGCGTGCATGATATGGATGCATCTATAAAAATGTTACTTCTCCATGCCTTCTATGCAAATCAGTTTTACATCATCACATGGTACAGCTGCGATTTCATTTCTGATGGAGAAAGTCCATGAAATTCAATTGCCCTGAGGCCCGGCTGAGTAACCTGCAAGGAATTGGGTGGGGGAGGGACAGGGAGAACCAAAAAAATCCTTGTGTCTTGTCCTCACGTATCCTGGAGTCCTCTGGGGGCCCAAGGCATGTGTTCAATGTGTGGCCCAACACATGCTCTTTTGCAAGTCAGTGGGACATGCGCTGGGAAGAGCTGAGTGATGGGATAATTAGAACCAAGCAGACAGCGGGGTGGATGGTTTGTCTGTAGATAATAGCTTGTTTGCTAATTGCCAACACCAGATTTACTGGGCAATTAGACATTTGGTATCTTCTAAGACCTTCTGTGCAAATGTGGACACATGGCCGCAGGCTTTGCAGGTAGCAGGTAGAGAGAAGGTGGCTCCCAGTGCTGGATGGCATCTCTGTAGGCTGCCCAAGGGGCCATGGGCAGGGCAGACTTCTCGCCGACAGGCGGGAAGGCCCATCTGGCTGGGCTCCCTGGCGCAGAGGCAGGATTCCCCCCTGTTTTATGGAAGGGGGTGCCCTTGGCCGGGAGATTAGCAAAGCAGGCGGACTTTCGCAGGCTGGGCCAGGAGCCTGGCTTATGTCTCCCTTCTCTTTTCAAGAGCACCAACCCATGGGTGCTAACAGGAATCAGAAATTGCTTTCTAAGATGAGCAAGTGGCGTTTGTGTTTTTTTTTAATGAGAACATGTTTGTTGTGATAAAGTATATATAACATAAAATTTGCCATTTTAACATTTTTTAAGCGTACCCATCAAGGGAATTAATTGCATCCACAGTGTTGTGCAACCACCATCGCCACTATTTTCAAACCTTGCTCATCACTCAAAATGGAAACTCTGCACTCCCCATTCCTTCCTCCCCCCCACCGCCAACCCCTGGTAACTTCCGATCTACTGTTTGTCTCTATGAACTTGCCTGCTCTAGATATTTCATGCAAGTAGAATTACACAATATTTGTCCTCTTGCGTCCAGCGTATTTTACTCGGCGCAGTGTTTTCTTGGTCCATCCATGTTACAACGTGTACAAGAATTCCATTCCTTTTTACAGCCGCATAATATTTCATGGCATGGCCATGTCACATTTTGTTGACTCATCTGTTCACGGGTACTTGGCTTGTTTCCACTTTCTGGCGATTGTGAGTAACATCACGGTGAACATGCACATACCAGCTTGAACCCCTGTTTTCAGATCTTTGGGGTAGGCACCCAGGAGTAGGATTGCTGTGTCATACGGCAATTCCTATATTTGACTTTCTGAGGATCCGCTATGCTGTTTTCCGGAGCCTCTGTACCATTTTGCACTCCCAGGTAGCTACAAGGGCCCCAGTTTCTTGCCAACATTTGTTATTCCTTTCTTTTTTTTCTTTTTTTTATCGCAGCCATCTTGGTGGGCGTGAAGCAGTTAGCGCATGGTGGTTTGGATTCGCGTGTCTCCACGAACCGGTGATGCAAAACATCTTTTCACGCGTTTCTTGACCATTTGTCTTCTTTGGAGAAATGGCTGGTGAAGCCCTTTCGCCCACCAGCTCTTTCGGCCTGTGTCCTTACTGGCTTCTGCACGTGTCTCCCAGGGGTTGGAATTGGAGGCTCCTCAGGAGGAGGGGGACCGTATGCCTGCAGCGAGCGGAGGTGGCTGTGCAGATCTGAAGCCTCACATTCACTCTTGCACGATTCGTTTCATTCCCTCAGCCCATTTGGCACCTGCTGTAGTGATGCTATTTGAGCTCTCACCAAGCAGGAAAAAAACCAAAAATCAGTGAGTGTGTGGGATTAACCCAAGTGACTTGGCAGCAGAAGCAGATGGAGCCACGCCTGTCCTCCCGTAGAAGCATCTAGGCTCTGTCAGACACCTCACACCCTCTGGGTTTCCTTGACCACAAGTATTGTTTTAGCCAAGTACCCATTTTTTTTTCCTGCCGGGTATCAGGCTGTGTGCTGCTAGATGGGGAGTATTCGCAGAGCACCCCAGATAACACCTGGTATTGGAAGGCGCTCAGGGTCGGCCGTTGTCACCAGGGTGGGAGCCTACCGTCCCTGCTCCGCTGCTGGCCCTGTGGGTCCTCGGTGGCGGGCAGGGAGAGCAGTGTGGGGCTTCCAGTGGGGACAGTGTGACTTCTCCCTGGGTGCTCATTCCTGGGGGAGAGCCACTGGGCTCTCGCAAGGTGTCAGGACAAACGTCAGCACCGGAATAATTGCGAGAGGAGCAGGGCAATCAACAAAACGACGTTCGTCTGCTTTGCTCTGGGCTCTTCTCTGGTTTGACCTTATGGGGCCCCACCCACGTGCAGGGTCTAGGTATGCTGATCCACCTGTCATTCTGCTGGGGTTTTTCTTTTTTCTTTTTTAATTTGTTAATGTTTATTCATTTTTGAGAGACAGAGAGAGACAGAGCGTGAGCAGGCGAGGGGCAGAGAGAGAGGGAGACACAGAAGCTGAAACAGGCTCCAGGCTCTGAGCTGTCAGCACAGAGCCCCACGCGGGGCTCAAACTCATGAACCGTGAGATCATGACCTGAGCCGAAGTCGGCTGCTTAACCGACTGAGCCACCCGGGCGCCCCTGTGGTTTTTCTTATTGAATGTCAAAGACCTCCAGTATCGCCGAAGAGAGATGAGTTCCCCATGTTGTGATGCGGCCTCATGCTGGAGGGAGGGAGGAGGGGACGTGTCCACCAAGCAAGGAATTTCCTTCCGGAAGCTGCAGTCCTGTCCTATGTTCCTGTAAGGGGGCTTGTTGGTCTGTGGGGTTGGGTAGGGAACCTGAGGGTTGTGGATACTCTTTCAAAAAACATGGCACACAGAAGTTTGCACAGGTGGCTGCAGGTTTGGCCTGTCATGGTGCCTGGCTTAAGAACCAGTTCTTCAGAGGGCGCAAGCCTGGAGCTGAGGCCACGTGGGGATTGGGCAGCATCTCTGCTAAGTGGGGGTTGGGGGTGGCACGCAGCGAGAGGCCTGGTGGCCACTGGGAGAAGAGGAACGTTTCATCTGGCCAAGTTTTCAACGTTTATTTATTTTTTGGGACAGAGAGAGACAGAGCATGAACGGGGGAGGGGCAGAGAGAGAGGGAGACACAGAATCGGAAACAGGCTCCAGGCTCCGAGCCATCAGCCCAGAGCCTGACGCGGGGCTCGAACTCACGGACCGCGAGATTGTGACCTGGCTGAAGTCGGACGCTCAACCGACTGCGCCACCCAGGCGCCCCAGTCTGGCCAAGTTTTAAATACCACATACGAGGGGGTGCCAGAGCAGACACTACGTTCATGGCCGGGTTCAGCCTTGCCTACGACGTTAGTTGGCTTTCTGGGGGGCAGTAGCATCTGTAGCAGCAAAGCCAGGCAGCTCGCTTCTGCCCCCTGGGTCAGCCCGTGCCACTTCTAAGCACATTTGTCTTTCCTTTCAGAAACAGCCCCCACGTCTGCATATTCATCTCCGGCCCGGAGTCTGGGGGACACGGGAATAACGCCATTGTCCCCTTCCCATATTGTGGTAAGAAATGCGTATGTATGTGTGGGGATATGTGCTGATTATCTTTGGTTTCTGGATGTGCCCTCACGAGACAGGCTGCTGGGCAGCCCCTCACATTCATGGGTGGAGATTACATTGTCCTGGTACCAGCCTCGGGAGCCCACACAGCCCCTTCCCCACCCTGGGCCTGGAAAGGCTTTCTATAGTGTGACTGGCGCTTCTGGAGCTCTTGGCCTGGGTGGGTACCAGGCAGGGCGGGAGCAACCCTTTAAAGATCGAGGGCCCAGAGGTGGTGAGGTGTCCTTCTGTAAGGGAGCAGCCGCATCTGGCCGGTGCTCCAGTGAAATGCAGTTGCTACAGTTCACTGCCATGTCCACACGCGTGTGGCTGGGCTTGCTTCTCGCACAGCCGGCCCCAGAGAGAAGACCTGAACAGCGAGGGGGCTGGAGACTGGGCATTTGCTCCCACCTGACCCCTCACTGAAAAGATGGATATTGTGAGGCAGCTCTTAAAGGGGCCCACACGTAGCCGACCAGAGAAAAGTAACCAGGGGAGGGGTAGCTTCCTGGGTACCAGCCTGTCCTGGTTTTCCTGGAACCATCTGCGTTTTACCTTATTCAGCGTCCTGGAACTCCCTCGGTCCTGGGGGACCCGGGAAGCTGGCCACCTATGGCTGGGCCCTCGTATGGCAGGTTTGCAAACTCTGCACCCTGAGGGCTCCTATAAGAGCTCAGGGTCACCTTGGGGTATGTGGGGATGGGGGTCAGTGGGGAGAGGCCAGAGGGGCAGAGGGGTGGGGATCTCACCCCCTGCTCTAAACAATACACTTCAAACCCCAAATGTATTGGTTTCTAATGTGGAGCTCTGTGGACATATAAAAAAGTCTACATGCTCAAAAAAAAAAAAAAAAAAAAAAAAAAAAAGGTTTGGAAAGCTGGAGTGGCCTGACCCGCTTGCTTAATGTTGAGGAACGTCTCTGGTCCCCGAGGGGACAGGACTTGCCAGGATCACATGGCGAGGGGCCCTGGCATGCAAAGCCTTATTCCCGCTCACAACACACCTGAGCAGATGGAGTGCTCGCCTGGGTGTGCCCAGGCCACAGCTGGCAGAGAATATTCTGGGCGGGCAGTGTCTGGAGGTCTGCACAGGAACTCGGGGAGGAGAGTGAGGGGAAGATTGTGTCAGTCAAGGAACCCCTGGGCTTCCAGACTGGATGGCAAAACTTCCATAATTTGTCATGGTCATAAGCAGTTGATAAAGGGGGTGGGGGCAAGCTCTAGGTGAGTGACTTCACCCTGTCAGCTTGGCCCTCCACTCAGGGACAGCTCCATTCCTCCCTGAACTACCCGGGTGGGGGGCTGAGGCTGGCCTGCCTTCTCCATAGGGCTCACCGTGCGGCACACTTGAGCCAGAATTCTGTCTGTAGTGGGGGGGCACAACTGGGCACAACCCCCCCCCCCAACCCCGGCGTATCCTCCTGAAAGCCAGGCTGGGCCACCGCCACTCCCCACCCCCACACCTTAACTTGGTGTATCTGCAGAATGACGCTGACCCGAATGTCTCAGAACAGCAGACATTTCTCGTGGTGGTGGCCGTTGACTTTGGAACCACGTCCAGTGGCTATGCCTACAGCTTCACCAAGGAGCCAGAATGTATCCACGTGATGAGGTGAGTGCTGTGGTATGGGTGGGGAGGGCCAAGTGCAGGCACCGGTCAGTGCACCTGTGGACACTTGGGGGCGGACCTGGGGGAGGGGAAGGGAGTTAGTTTAAGGAGCAGGTGAGTGGCACTTAGGAGGCGGGTCCTGGATTGTGGCCCAGCTCAGCCCCAAACCCCTGTGCCCCTTTGGGTAAACTGCTCTTATCTCTGGGCTCCAGGTTCCTGGTCTGTAAAAGCGTTGACTTAATTCTGACTCAGTTGGTCTGAGGAAGGGCCTGGACAGCGCGTTTGAAATCTGGCCCAGGTTATTCCAGCATGCAGCTCGGGCAAGAGGTGCTGGCTCAGGGTATCTGTGATGGAGGAGGTCCAGGCATCAGCTCGGCCACATACTGTGTGAGCTTACACAAGCGCTGGGCCTTCTAATCCTCAATTTCCTCATCTGTGAAATGGGGATACTGACTGTCTGCCTCACCGAGTGTGCACAAATGAAATGAGATTTCCCGTCAAGGGCTTAGCACGGACTGAAATGTAAGGAGGCAAGGTGCTAGTTCTTACATGACGGTGACCAGAAGCAGAAAGCACCATGCCTAAGAAAAAACAGAGGGGTGGATTTCAGCCACATGAACCTGAAGGGTGACCCTGAAGTTGCCCAGGGTCTCTTGGGACACACTCTGTGCTCAGGACGCCCCTCCCTCCACCCCCGCCCCACCAGGCACACAGCAGCCTGGCACGCCCTCTCGTCCACCCCACCCGCACGCGTGACCAATTGTCTGCGAGGATTCTGGTCGATCCCAGCACCTACACTGGCTCCTCTGGTCTGGCGCATGGCCCTCCTACAGAGTCTGTGGCCCCTCAAAGCTTTGGGAGCCAGGAGTCGATCACTCTGATTTTCCAAACCCAAGGATGGCTCTCAAGATGCATTGTGATTGGCTTTGCAACAACTCCTTTAGCTGGTAATTGTGGAATTTCGTTATCGCTCCTGGAGTAAGAGCTTATGTGTTTTTATAGCGTGCTGCTTAAAACATAAGTCATGAAGCAAAAGTGACCCCTGCCCCAATCTTGGTTTAGATATCCTAAGAGGCTACAGAGACCCGGGGGTGTCCTGTCATCAGGAAATAATGAAAAGCCGGTTCTAGTAGAGAAGCCTGATGACAGCATAGCCCTCTGTGTCCAGTCATCAGCAGGATTCTGCCTCTGGTTAGCCAGACACCTGCCGTGGGGTCTGCTCTGTCATCCCCAGAGAGGGAAACCCCGAAGAGACAAGAGCATGCTAGGAAAAGCTAGAACCAGTGTTTATTAGCTTCTACATAGTTGTTTTAAGAAATGTTGTTTCAAAGGGATAGCCTTGTAATGAAAATTGGAAAGAAAAAAAAAAAAAAAAAAAAACAAGAGCAGAAACACATTGCAATTGCTTGGGAGGAATTCTCACCCAGTAGCTGCAGCGTTCAGGTTCTCTAGAGACATTATCTCAGTTCTTGTAGAGAAGATTTTGGAGAGAGGTTCTACCTGAATTTTACTTCAATCAGAACAGGTTAACATAACCATGATACAGACTGACAAAATTATGACTGAGAAAGCTTAATTTTGTGTATGTTAATAGGAAGGGAGGAATAAAAATTGGAAGGGGAAAAACTCCGGAGGTTCCTTGCCTACTGAAAATGGCAGTGTTAATGGTAACAGGAAGTCCATTCGTTGAAACGTTGGAATGTCACCCTGGCTCAGGTACCCAGTGTCCGCCTGGGTGATGATCATCCCTGTGTCTCAGTGGGGTCACCACGGGGACGTCTCCCTGGGTAGAAGCCTGCATCTTGATGGAGCTTGACTGGGGCACTTGCCAGGGACGGTTCCAGGCCCATCTGCATGGCAAATCTAGGTCGACTCTCCACCTGGACTGTGATGGTGCCACCAAAGCTTCACGGTGCCGTGTCAGGAGCAGGTGTGAGCTCAGCCAGGTGCTCTGCCACCTTCCTGGCAGGCGGGGGGGGGGGGGGGGGGGAGGGGCGTGCTTCCCCTCCTATTCTGTGTCACCACCAGATGCTCCTCGTAGTGGTCATGTGGCTAGTGGCAGGATGGGAGCCAGCTGCAGAGCCGGGACCTGGTCCAGAAGAGAGCCTCCTGGCCACCGTGGCAGCTGTGGCTTCTCTGCCGTGGCCCCAGAGCGGGAGGGAGAAGCTTCGAGTCAGCTGCTTTCTCTACTCTTCTTCGTATTCTCCTTCTTTCTATCTGAGGGAAGGAAGGAAGCTTCTCTGGGGCTCCACTGACCCCCTTCCCCACTCCCTTACCCTCCCATCAGTTCCAGGATGTAATCCCACAGACTCTGCCTGTCTGTCTGTCCTCACCTCTCGCCTCTTCTGGCACCTCTTCAGCACACAGACTTGCGGGACATAGTCCCTTCCCACCTCACTGCTCCCATCAGGGCTCTCCTGCCACCTTGTCACGGTGGCTGTCACCCTGGTATGGAGGCACCCAAGTCTGTTTCCTCCTGGGTCTCTCCTGTGAACGCCAGGCTTACATCTTCGACCCCGTCCTGGGAGTTCAACGCCAGCGGGCTCACCTGGAGTTTCCCACTTTCCTTGGTCAGGGCTCCCGGTTTCTGTGAAGGGCGCTTTCTCCTCTAGGCTCTGAAGTTGGAACATCTGGGAGGTGAGCGCCTGCTCACCTCCGTTGCCATTTAGCTGGGCTCTCACTTGGGATGGCCCCTCCTCCTCCACCGCTTTCCTCTACTCTGGTTGGAGCCCCATTGTCTCTGCTCCCAGAACAGGCCTGAGCCTCCTCAGCCTCCTGGCTTCCTGTCTGGTTCAGTTTGCTCTGTTCAGTCCCAACTCGGATTCTGCCATACCCCTGCCCTAAAACCTTTAGTGGCTCCCTGTTACTCACTGGTTAAGTCTCTCTCTCCCCAGGGGTCTCTTCCACCTGCTTCCAAACACCTTCCCAATCTCGTTTCTCACACTTCCCATTTACATACTCCTTCTCTACCCCACACGGTCACTTGCATCCCGGTAAATGTCCTGTGTTCACCCACCTCTGAGCAGCCTGCAGTGCCCTTCCATCCTTCAAGATCTAGCTCTCGGTCAGTCCTTTGAGTCTGTCCTGAGCCTTGCATTCTTCCCCTGCCCCACCACCTGGCACCTCTGCCTTCTCTGACCCCCAGGGCATTTCCCTGGGCCCCTTGTTTCCATACGATAAGCCTGGTATTTATGTATTTGTTTATACCCTACCTTGTTTTAGAGAGGACACAAACCAGCTATACATTTGCTTTGGGTGCTTGCAAATTAAAAAAAACAGACCCCTTATCTCCCCCCAAAAGACATAACCTACTAGGTTGTGAGTTGTTGGAAGGCAGAGAGATGTTTCGTCTCCTTGTCACTGGCACCTGCACAGAGTAGATCCTCAGTAAACACTGAGTGGAAGGTCAAAGCAGACCTTATTATTCAGCAAGAACCTGGTGCTTGCCCCTTTTATATTGCTTTCTAAGCGGAGTCGTATCAGTGATCACTGCTCAGCCAGCTGAACCAGAGAGCATCTGTAGCAGCTATTATGAGCACCCACATCTATAAGAATCATGCACGTGTAGGTGCTCGAATCACTGCTGTCCGAACTGGGCTTATGAAAGAAGGTCCCATAACCTCTGCCTTTCCTTGGGGTCAGGCGATGGGAAGGAGGCGACCCTGGGGTGTCCAACCAGAAGACCCCGACCACCATCTTGTTGACTCCCGAGAGGAAATTCCACAGCTTTGGATATGCCGCCAGGGACTTTTACCATGACCTGGATCCCAACGAGGCCAAGCAGTGGCTGTACCTGGAGAAGTTCAAGATGAAGTTGCATACCACTGGGGTAAGCTATACTCTCCCTGGCCCCGGGTCCTCCGCATTGGAGAGACAGGGTTCCTCCAGCCTGGGTGGGGGAGGTCTTTCCAACTCAGGAAACCCTTAGGTTTCTCCCAAGCAGAAATTAACATCCATTTACCTTGATCTTAGAGATGACCTGGCGCACTCAACACTTTGGTGGAGTAGACAGCACTTCCTTTTATACACGTGGGCAGAGAGATATTCAGAATATTTAACAACTTGTTTGCCTTGGAAACTGACCAGAGTGGACGCTGGCTGGAGGCATAGGGGTGGGGGACATGCCACGCCAGGAGATCCCCCTTCGGTTGCTGGGTTGTTGGGAGATCGGGAATTCTGAAGGAGGGACTTGGGGGCTCGGGGCATTTGGGGGACCTAGGACAGTAGCTATTAACTAACTAGTTTAGAAGTAACAACTGGCAGAGCACCTGGGTGGCTCAGTCAGTTAAACGTCTGACTCTTGATTTTGGCTCAGGTCATGATCTCACGGTTTGTGAGATCAGGCCCCACGTCGGGCTCTGAGCTGAGTGTGGTACCTGCCCGGGATAGTCTCCCTTTCAATCTCTCTCTCTCTCTCAATCAATCAATCAATTTAAAAAAAAAAGTAACAACTGGCCCATTCCTCTCTGTGTGGGGAAGCAGGCAGCTCAGGAAATCAAGTGCCCGATTGTTAGAGGCTCAACTCCCAGTTCTAGAAGCTGTCTCCATCAGTTAGGCCCGTCTCCCAAGCTTCATGGAGACATTTGGGCCACAGGATAGGTTCTCCTCAGTTTGAGCACTTTATCCCATAAATTTTCCTTAATTCTTGGTACTTAGAGATTCAGGATGGCAATGGTGTTTAAGACCCTGGGACCAGACGGCCTCGATTTAAAAATCCTGCCTCTGCCACCTTCAAGATACTTAATCCAAGTTACTTAACCTCTCTGCGCCTCCTGTAAAATAGAGACACTGACAGTGCCTTCTTCACGGGGATGTTGTAAGGATTAACGGAATCAAAATACGCAAAGCTCTTAGAGCCAGCCTGGTACTTAGTAAGTTCTAGTTAATTGCTAGCTCCCATTATTGCTTTCCTTGTGGGCTCTTAAGTGCTTGCAGATGACAAGACAAATGTTAATGGAAACCCAGCTGCCAGCACCCGGTCTCCAAGGCTGCGTGCTGCTTGGTGTGGTTCTATCTCTGTGAAGCAGACAGACTTCTGCTAGAAATACATCCTTCCCGGTTCACCTGATGGGATTCAGTGCTGAACAGCAATCTTGTGCAGGTGGAAAGCACAGGAATTTTTTCAGTTTTGAATGTTTTCAGTTCTGAGCCTATGGCTTCCAGGTGCTCGGCCACCTCTCTGAGCCTGGGAGTCGCCTCCCCAAATCTGGAGCGTCTCTGCCGAGCACCAGGGGTGGGAGGTGGCTGGTTGGGAGGAGTGAGTTTGCGTCCATGGCTCAGGACGGCTGACAGGCTCCACGAGGCCGGTTTAGTAGCCTCGTGCCCCTTCATGCTCTAAAGGCAAAGCCTAGTTATCCAGCCGGGATCGATCCGGAGGCCCCACTGATTTTTTGCCTCGGCAGTAATGAGCCTGTTGGTTTCGGGCTGACTTGGGAGCGTCCTCCTGATGCTCACCCCCGTTCTCTGCCCATCTCCACCCTGTGAGCACTTTTCCTGTCGTTTTTTTTTTATGACCCCAGTCCAGCCAGCGTCTCCCAGAGCATCCTCTACCCAAGGACCGGACTGCTTTAGCTTCTGGCAGAGGGAGGGAGGCAGTGATGCTGTGCTCCCAAGAGGATTAAGCACAAGCCTTAAAATAGGAGCTCTTCTATTTTGGAGACTTGGTTGGCAGCCTATTGGGAAACAAAAGCTTCATGTCTGTTTAAGCATCGTGCACGTCAGCGAGTTGGTGTGATTATTTAGGCCTCTGCCAGGGGGGGCTCCTGAGGGTGACCATGTGTGTCCAAGTGTGGAAATAGTATGTAAATGGCATCAGCAGTGGTGCCTGCTGACTTTTCCCCCTTCCTGGGCTCTGTCACTGTGCCGAGACTTCTGCTCTGTGAGGATCCAGGAGAGAGAAAACAAGAGGGAGGGAGGAAGATAGGGAGAAGTGGAGGGAGGGGCTGAAGGGGACAGCAAGGGCCCCCGACAGAGTAAGGGGACAATGCTGCCAGTCTCATTTCGGGGGACACACTATCCTGGTCTCCCAAATATCAAGAAACAGAAATATGGCTCACCGGGCTCCCCAGATCCCCAGGTAGCAGTTCCCGAAGCTACAAGGTGTGTTTCTCCTCCCTGGCCTTACTATTCCTTCCTCTCCCCCACCAGGACCTCACCATGGATACAGACTTAACGGCAGCAAACGGCAAGAAAGTCAAAGCCCTTGAAATCTTCGCTTACGCCCTGCAGTACTTCAAGGAGCAGGCGCTGAAGGTAGGGCACGTGCCAGCGCCTTGTGGTGGGGGAGGTGCACCTGCCAGCCAGAGGGGGGTGCGTGGTAACGCCCTGAGGGAGGACAGGTAGGACTGGCATTCAGAAAGCAGGATGCACCCACGTGCACTGCTGGCAGGAATGGAAAATGGCACAGCTGCCGTGGAAAAGTCTGGCAGATTCTGAAGGTTGAACACAGAGCTACCCCATGACCCAGCGATTCTACTCCTCAGACACCTAAGAAAAATGAAAACATGTATTCACACAAAAACTCGCATGTGAGTGTTTACAGCGGCGCTCTCTGTAATAACAGAAAAGCAAAACAGCGCAAACGTCCGTCAGCGAGCAGGTTACGAAGTGGGGTCTGTCCCTACAATGGGATATTATTCAGCCATAAAAAGGAATAGAGCACTGATGCCCGGGACAACATGGGTGAACCCTGAACACGTTCTGCTAAGGAGGAGAAGCCAGACGATACTGGAGGATTCCATTTGTATGCAATGGCCAGAGGAGGCAAGTCCACAGAGACAGGAAGCAGATTCGAGGTTGCCAGGGGCTGGGGGGGGGGGGGGAGGAGTGACAGCTAATAGGAACGGGGTTTCTCTGCGGGGTGATGGACTCAGATAGTGTGATGGTTGCACAACCTTGTGAATCTGCTACAACCCACTGAACTGTACAGTCTAAGAAGGAGAATTTTAGGGAGCACCTGGGTGGCTCGGTTGGTTAAGCGTCCAACTCTTGATTTTGGCTCAGATCATGACCTCACGGTTCATGAGTTCTAGTTGCGCATCAGGCTCCATACTGATAGCACCGAGCCTGCTTGGGATTCTGTCTCTCCCTCTGTCTCTGCCCCTCCCACTCCCCCCCTTAACATAAATAAACTTCTTTTTATAAAGGAGAATTTTATGGTATGTGAATTATATCTCTGTAAACAAACAAATAAACGAACAAAAAACAGAAAAACGGGCAGAAGACACACGTAGCAGCTGTGTGATCTCGGGCAAGGCGCTTAATTTCTCCAACACCCACCTCCCTAACCTGAAGAGTGGGGCAGGTTGTGTACCTCGTGGGTTGATGTTAAACCTTCCTCCGGGCTGCGCACAGTAAACTATTGGCAAATGGTTGCTGCTGTCCCTCCCAGACCCCACGGAAGCTGCTGGTATATGAGTGAACCCCTGGGATGACTGTTGCAAAGGTTTGTGCAGTGATGGTCCTGGATGTGGGAGAATGGCTAATTTCTAAGTGGAATACAGCTGTCCACTCAGTGTCCTCCCATGGGCATGGTGATGAGTGGGTGTGTAAATCAGATGTGTGTACTGAGCTTTATCCACAAAGAATTGGGCACTTTAGAAGCATTTGGTATTATGTGATCACTAGTAGAAATTTAGTGAATTCTGGAAATAGAGTTCTAGAAATAGGGCTCAAGGGAAACAAAGATGTGAGAACGTGATACTGCTTTCATTCATTCAAGTACCTTTTTCATTTTTTTCTCTTTCTTTCTTTCTTTCTTTCTTTCTTTCTTCCTTTCCTTCCCTCCCTCCCTCCCTCCCTCCCTCCCTCCCTCCTTCCCTCCCTTCCTTCCTTCCTTCCTTCCTTCCTTCCTTCCT